CTTAAATTAAAAATTTATGTATATATATGTTTTATATTATTTATTTAGAATTATTTAGCTTTAGTTTCTTTTTATTTCAGCTTTAGTCATTTTACTTAAGCTTATTTTCACTTAGTTGCCAAGGGAACTTCTAACAAGGGAATTTCTGTTTCATTTCAGTTTTTTTTTAAAGTTTTTTTTTAAAGTTTTTCATTGAATAATTATATATTTTATTTTATTTATTAAAGTATTAGTGTATTATGCATTAATATTTTGAATAGGCTTTTATGTTTTTTATTTCCCGTTTTCATTTTTAGTCATTTTGTTATATGCGTTTGTCATCTTTATTCGTTTTTGTAAATATTTATTGTATTTATTTTGTATGAATATTAGGAAGAAAATTCCCCTAAAAATCAGATGCACTGCAAAAAAAAATCAGGTTAATGTATTTGGATTGCATATAATTTTTCCATCCATTTCGATTACACAGTTTTAACATAAACTAATATGATTCATATTTGGCAGTCATATATAAAAGATTTCTGCACTTAAAAAAAGGGGGAAAAAATCATACTTTATTAATAAATATTTTTGAACAAATGTATAATTATGTAATATTATATACATCAGTTTATGTTTTTTATGTTAAAACTGTGTAATCCAAATACATTTCATTATAAATTGTAATTTTAACATAAAAGTGCAACTAACTTTGAATAGATAAACTTTAAGTTACATTACCATAGATGGTTTTAACTGCCAGTATTTCATAATAAATTAAGCAACACATGGTTTTAAAGTTTAACAGCACTCTAAACTTTAAGCTCTTAAGCAGGATCTCTCTCTGACCGCAGGACTTTATCAACGGTCTACTGTACCGGATGAAGGGACTGCGGAAGATGTCAGGATCTCTGAAGAAATAGTTTTAGGTCAAAGGCTGGATTTTTCAAGATAATGTGAAGCACCCGGCCCCGCCCCTGACCCCGCCCACAACAACAAGCCCCGCCCACTGCCTGCCGTCTGTACTGTAGAGCGCTGTGAGTCTGTCTGTGGACGTTTCTATAATTCCCCGCACACATGGGTCAACGACAGAAACTTCCAGAAACTGTGTTTTTGACCACTAATAATTCTGTAGTTTCTCCAGCATTGCTGATAAAACGAATTGCCTATTATTACTCAAATGAGATGCTTTTTTTGTTTTATTGTGACATGTACATTTTGTTCCCTATTTATATATATATATTTTGTTCTGACAAGTGTTGTAGATTTTAGATGAAAAGCATAGATACAGTTCGTGCTAATAAATTCAGAATCTAGGATATCTTTCTTACATTCTGCCATTGTCTGATTTCAGTCCTAAAACGGAGATATTGCATGACAATTAATACTGTCTCAGAAGTGCAGAATATGCATCTTTCATAACACTTTTATCAATAACATGACAAAAACACGCATGTCAGCATGAAATGCATCAATATTTCCAGAATTGCATTAATTTATCCTGTATTTCACCTCATGCATATGTATGTCTGGTAAACCTGATGATATTTAGATGATCTGCAGGAGAATAAATGTCCATAATGCATAACTCCAGCAGCACTAATAAGCCGATTTAAACACAGAGCGCTGTGAGTCTGTCTGTGGACGTTTCTATAATTCCCCGCACACATGGGTCAACGACAGAAACTTCCAGAAACTGTGTTTTTGACCACTAATAATTCTGTAGTTTCTCCAGCATTGCTGATAAAACGAATTGCCTATTATTACTCAAATGAGATGCTTTTTTTGTTTTATTGTGACATGTACATTTTGTTCCCTATTTATATATATATATTTTGTTCTGACAAGTGTTGTAGATTTTAGATGAAAAGCATAGATACAGTTCGTGCTAATAAATTCAGAATCTAGGATATCTTTCTTACATTCTGCCATTGTCTGATTTCAGTTCTAAAACGGAGATATTGCATGACAATTAATACTGTCTCAGAAGTGCAGAATATGCATCTTTCATAACACTTTTATCAATAACATGACAAAAACACGCATGTCAGCATGAAATGCATCAATATTTCCAGAATTGCATTAATTTATCCTGTATTTCACCTCATGCATATGTATGTCTGGTAAACCTGATGATATTTAGATGATCTGCAGGAGAATAAATGTCCATAATGCATAACTCCAGCAGCACTAATAAGCCGATTTAAACACTTTACGGCTCAAATAACAAACATTTCACTGAAGAACTTGCAAAAATACAAATGCTTTTGAACCTCTGATCATCAGGCTTCATGCTTTTGATTATAAATATAATGTTTGTTTGTTTTTATAAACTTATAAACCGGCTTTGGTGATCAACAGCATGTCACAGATTCTGTCTATACCCAGAATATTCTTTTAATGTATATTTACATTTGATTCAAGCTTTTAAAGTACTTTAAATGATATGGATTTTAAAAGGAGATGGGGAAAACACAGTTTAACCAACACAAACTCCAGTGTGTGATTCCAGTCAACTATAAAACACAATAAAACACGCCAGTAAACAACAGTAAGGCTGGAGAAAGCAAAAGTGCATGTAGTGGTAATAAAGAGTAAAGATGCTTGTTGAAGGTTAACGTTTATGCCACATGTCTTGGTTTAGTCATTAACCTCAGCTGTTTTCTGAGATGATGATGATGATGTTGAAGGTGTGGATCAACAGAGACGATCATGTTCGCACAAACATTCAGAACTGCCCAGTGTTTTGAGAATAAAGAGCAAAATGAAATAGATGCAATGTTCAAAATAAAATAAAATAAAATACAGGTGTAATGCTCTAAATAAAGTAAAAAAAACAACAAAATAAAATAAAATCAATCAAGTATAATGTTTAAAATAAAATAAAATAAAACTCAGGTGTAATACTCAAAATAAAAGTAAAATAAAATACAGGTAATGCTAAAAATAAGTTAAAAGTAATATAAAAAATAAAATACAAAATAAAATAAAATACAGATGTAATGCTCTAAATAACATTAAATTAAATGAAAAGTAAAATAAAATACAGGTGTAATGCTCAAAATAAAATAAAATAAAAAACGTGACTAGGCTTTTAAGGTCAGGACTACATCTTGGCGTGTGATGTAATTACAGAATATATGTGGGTTAAAGGACAAACACTGGTTTACTGTACACACACACTCACACACACGCGCACGCGCACACACACACACTCTCACACACACACACACACTCACACACACGCACACAGAGAGCCCGTAGTATGAAGTGTCTCCACACACTCAATACTATGTATTTTACTAAAGTCAGTTATGAATCCTTCACTCTTAGATTTGTCTAGGAGAATTTGATGTCTTGTATTGATTTGATATCTTTGAATTGGCTATGGAGATAATTGGCATAATACATATTTACCTGACTGATAATAAATTG